TTTTCCGTTCTTATTCCAGGAGTTTTAATTTTCTCCTACAAGATCGGCACAAATATAAAATTATTTAAAATTGTAAATACCGATAAATACCGATTTTTTTAAACATTTCATACCGATAAGGCGTTTCTCAGTGGAACTGACAGTTAGAAATCTAGAGTGTGTGAGTGATCTGGTGTTAGTTGTGCTGAATGTAAAAAAACAAAAACAAAGCAGAAATTCATATGAGAATAAACTGCCAGTTCTACTGTGATCTGTCAAAAGTTCTTGATCAACAAAAAAGTCAGCTGATCACAACTGTTTCGTGGACAGCCTTATTAACCAACCTACATTTCATTAAAATCGTGGGGTGAGCGAGTTCCAATTGTTGCACATGAAAAATCTAATTCTATTACTTTGATTTCAATCAATGAAAAATCGTGAGCACATTGCTTAAGCCTGTATCTACCTATGGGAATACGACATTGTTTGTTTTAAAAAGTTTTGTTTTAAACCTCTCTTAAAGCATTGAAACTTTTATCCCTCGTAATGTTTATAGAATACATTAGTCACCTTTTCTGACGCAAAAGTGTGCTTGGTGGCGGAAAATCGTGTCTCCGGAAAATAAAAGAGTGAACTATATTGTTAAGGTGATTCTTTGTAGAGTTCACAAATGGTCACCACGTAGGCTATACATGCACTTCCACTTCGAATTTTCAATTACACACATCTCGGAATTAATGCCATATTACACCTGAAATCGGTACTTCATTCGCAGTATGTACAGCAAACGTGAAGTAACAGTTTTATTATGGTACGTACCGTAGAAGCTGTTTTTGTACACTTAAAGTTTCGAAGTGGATACAAGAATAAGGATCTCACAGCGAAGCACCTTAATGTAGTATATTTGATATTTCGCATGGATCAGGAGTATCCGGAATAACAAACAGCCAAGGTAGCAAAATTTCGTCAGGCGTACTATGATTAAAATCAGTGATACAACTTGCATGCAAGCTGACCTCCGAACAATTTCACAGCATGTGAGTCGTTAAACGCTGAAATATCGTCAAAACTACAAGTTGTGCAGCCATGGTATGGTCGGACGAAAGTTGTATTTCCTTGTCCCCTGAACCGTAGTGAGGGTAGTTTTGTTGTGACAAATGATTTTGTATGGTTTTGGTGCCAAATATGAGAAAACTTGCATGTAAATTTTATTGCAAAGCGGGAAAATTTTATTTTTATAATTTTTTCGTGCATTCTATGCATCTACTTTCTTCAGAGAAATTAGTTTATAGAACTTAAAGGCTCTATGAAAAATATGTTCGAGGTTGCTATATAGTATATTTAGTGGCTTATGAGCGATCAAAGTGAAATATTTGTCAAAATGCCTAGAAGGGCCTGTGTTGAGCGAGTGAGTTGATTTTGCGCAGAGGCTACTCAGGCATACAGAAAGCGCATTATGGAAGCGGAGCAAAATTTCATAAAATTGCTAACAAAATGTAGCAGTCTAATCACCGACAAACCGACATGAATGACCATAGCAAAAACAATAAAATGTCTGACCAAAGCGCACTACCGACATCTGGCTCCGTGTTCACATGAAATATTTAGCTAATCCATGAACCCGCATGCAAAAGTTATGAATTGGTTCGTGTCGCATCTATTCTGGACAAATTATTTTTATCTAGATCAAAAATCCTATGGTTTTGACAGTTCGGATCACTGCACATTTAAATTGACCGTTTACCGTTTTCGAACATAAGTCAGAATTAAGTATAATGTCGGTTTGTCGGTGGCCTAATGTTCAGGAATCCAGCAATGTAGAAAGAAATTCTATAGAATTATGAGAAGAATTCCTATGTAATTAATAATGATAATTTAAATGAAATTATATTAAAAAAAAATAATTCAAGAAAAATGCTGAGAAGAATAATTACAAAATTCAGGGAAACAAACATCTTAAGGGAAACCTGACCTGGATTTGACTATAATTCAGATAATCTCATAAAGAATTCTGAGTTAAATTCCAAAGCATTTCTGGGAAGATGGAAAGAAGTTCAGTAATTAATTCTTAAGTAATTCTTACAATAATTTCATAAAATTTGTGAAAAGAACCTCATAGGTAACCGCTAAGTGACAGTGAAATTTTATGGGATCGTGATGCGATCATGAAAATTTAAAAGAAAATTTCTGGAGAATGTTTTCAAGTCTGGAATTCAGATACCAGGATTCCTGAGGAGAGTATTTATTAAAATTTTGAGAATATTTGTATTCTCAGGATAGTGTTAAATGATTTATATGGAGGATTCCGAGGAATTTTTAAGGGAATTTCAAGGGAAATCCGAAGGTAATTCCAAGATACGATAAGAGATGCACGGACGTTTTCTTGTGAGATTCAGAAATATCCCATGATTATGCCAAGAAAAATGCTTTAATAATTATGGAAAAATAATAACTGAAAACTGTTTATGATTTTGAATAGATTCATATTAAGCCATTTAGAAAAGTAACACATAAGTTGAAATTTTCATAACTTAGAGATCATGGCAATAACAGAAATTCATTTTCCACAAATTTTATAATCAGTTGGTGCTAAAAAAAACATAATCTGTTATAATAAATTTATAAATTCATAATAAATAAACTTACTTTTATAATACTTGGTTTTCCAGGATTTGCCGGTTCGCTGGCCATCTGAATGAATTAAAACATTATGTAAATTATCAGCACTATAATGATCATAAATGTGTATATTTGTCTTGGCCAGGCATGGAAAATCATTTGCATTCGTTTACATTCATTTGCCCCTAACTTTTTTCATCAACAGAATTCCGCAAAATGAGTTCAGGGATTTTATAGGAATCCTGATGAATGTGGGCGGCTTAGTGGAATAACTGTATAATGAGAGAGAGAAGGATTAGTATTTTCCATTTAATTCCACTACTTTATTTGCATATCCTTGACAGATACGCGTATTTCGTCTACAATGTGCAGACTTCTTCAGTGTCTTGTACAAGACACTGAAGAAGTCTGCACATTGTAGGCGAAATACGCGTATCTGTCAAGGATAAGCAAATAAAGTAGTGGAATTAAATGGAAAATACTAATCCTTCTCTCTTGATTTTATAGGTTTTGTTATTAGCTACAAGTTTTGTTAACATTTCAAATTCGTATCTCTCACGCATGACGAACCAGAGCGAACAGAAGCCACTACTGCACATTGTAGACGAAATACGCGTATCTGTCAAGGATAAGCAAATAAAGTAGTGGAATTAAATGGAAAATTATAATTATTATTTAGCTTTATTAAGGAGGCTTTCAGCCTTGGGCTGGTTTGCCTCCAAGTTAAATGGAAAATACTAATCCTTCTCTCTTGATTTTATAGGTTTTGTTATTAGCTACAAGTTTTGTTAACATTTCAAATCCGTATCTCTCACGCATGACGAACCAGAGCGAACAGAAGCCACTACTGTTTTTCAGTGAATGTATTTTACATTCACTGGAAAACAGTAACAAGTTCTACCCGCTCTAATTCGTGATGCATAAGAGATACAGATTTTAGTTATGAACAAAAGTTTTAGCTAATAACAAAACCTACTAAAGCTTTATACATCATTTTGTGGAATGCTGTTGATGAAAAAAGTTAGAAGCAAATTAATGTAAATGAATGCATGAAATGAATGTAAATGATTTTCCATGCCTTGTCTTGACTGTCATCATCTAGCAAAGAGATGATTTTTTGCAGTCAAATTAGTTTACTCAAATGTGTCCGACACCAACGGTTTTTTCTTTCTCTTTGGTTATTTCCAAGAATCCTATACAAGGATTCGTGTTGCTCTTTTCTTATGCGCATTTCTTTTGAAATTGTTCCAACTTATGGCAAACACCCACACGAATGCATTCTTTCTTGTTTACATCTGTTTACATTATTTTCGTTCAGAAAAGGTTCGAAAATACAAGGCTACCTGTTACTCGTTCTTCCATCGCATGCCTTCAACTCCCACAGCAATGGAACTTGCCATTCAGTCGTCGTTTGTCTGCTGTTACCTAAGTGCCTATATTGGAATAGCATTTCTACCTACTTTCGGTAAACATTTATACCAATCTGCTTATTTCCGAAGAATGGATATAGTCGAATGGATCAGTGCAATTCTAGTAACTCTAGTAATCAAAATATCCTGGACGCTGAGACAAACGATGGAGTCTATGGAGCAACTAAACAACAACAGCCGTAACAATTCTCAGCGGGACGATTCTCTCTACTATACGGCTTACATCGAGGAGGACTATCCGGCTGAAGTAAACGAAAACGAAAACAATTCAAACCTAGAACGATCGCTACCATCAGTGAACGCTGATGCCAAGGATGGGAGAAAATCTCTAGTGACCTCAACACCACAGGCGAGGAACGCCGTTGGACAGGACGTTGTTTCGCCTGGCTATTCCGACATCGAGGAAGCCCCCAAAGAGGCGGTTGTATGCAGGCATCCCACACCGGTAATGGCGCGATATGAGCGAGAACTAGTGGATCGATTTTGTATGATAAAAATGCCCACCGAAGAGGATGCGGAAGTGATCAGGACTACGTTCGCCAGGGGCAAGATTTCACCGGAAACGGAACTTAAGTACAGGCAGTTTCTACAGTCACCGGTGTCGTCAAGAGGTAGACACAGAGGCCCGAAGCCTTCCCAAAGAAAACATATTAGACTGTGATGTGTGTATGTTATTTGTTGAGGCCCTAGAATTGCTCAGCTCTTCCATTTATTATAATTAGTGAAATAATAATTTAGATTTTATAGGAAAATAAATTGACTCACACTGAAATCAAAACATCTCCGTAAAACTTTTCATAAATAAATAATAAATCATATTAAGAAACCGAATTTCATCCGACGGAATATATTCCTCCGTGCTCAATCGAAACTCACCACAATCGCGCAAATCTCACCACTTCTTCCGATGCCAAACGTCATGCGAACGAAACGATTGTTTACCAACAAATAAATCGTTCTATCAGCTACCGGAAAAGTTTGGTCACCGAAAACAATCCAAAATGGATGCAGAGCAGCCGGAAAATTTGCCAAGCACTCAGGAAACAACCGATGGTGACGAAGGCCTTTCGCAAGACTCCCGAGCCGACAGTCAGGAAAGCCTGGATGCGGTTGTAGCGGACGAACACCAAAGCCAGGAGTTCCTACAGCGAAAGTTGTACTTTCTTTTGGAGCAGCTGAAGAAGATGCACAATATTTTGCCTGAGTAAGTATTCCCAACAAAATTATAATCTCGATAATAATTCCATGGTTGTTTCTATAAACGGCGCTTGCTAAGGCAATTCCTACTGCGGATTTCCTATGAACTTCTGGCGGGACTTGCCAACTCACTGCTGAACGACACAATCTTCGAAATTGTGAAGGGGTTGATGGAGATCCAACATGTGACCGAGAAACATCTGATGCAAGTGCGGGAGAAAGTGGAGAATGACCATCAATGTAAGCTCTTTTTTTTTAATGGCTCTCGCAGGGAAAAAAAATAAACTTTACTTTTTATAGTGGAAGTTAAGCAATGGGAATCGAAGATCCAAGACCCGGAGGAACTGGAACACATCATTGCACTGATGAAGATCAAACACACCAAAAACATGAAGGAAACCGACATGAAGCTGGTGCTACATCTGGACCAGAAGGTCAAGGATCAGCAGTCGACGCTGGAAAAGGCCGGCGTGCCCGGTTTCTACGTGACGGACAATCCTATGGAGATCAAAATTCAAATGTACCTGCTTGACTTCATCCTCCGACTGTCCAGGGTAAAGTTTGAACCAAACAAATAACATTCGGTTGAATGGGCAACTTGGGATAAGGCTGATTGGTCGGCCTATGCCGACAGCTCGGGGATGTTTGATGAATAAATGTTACTGTGATTATAACAAGCGCATTTTTGGGTAGTTCATTTCATCTTAAAAACTTACATTCGATAGTAATTGCTTACAAGTTTCAAAACTTGCGTACAATGTATTGAAGTATCCCCACCACTTAGTTAGGCGGTAAACTAGTTATGATTTGTTTTAAATGTGTTACCTCTGCACACAGTCGTGAAAGCACATGGTTCTCTAAGACTACTACACGAGCACCTAAATGAAAGCAAAGTGATACAGCCCGATCGCCAAGTGCAAAGTCATTCACATCGAACTTTAGGCACTAAATTAAGCTACTTATCCAATTCTAAAAATTATCAAGAGGCTATTTTCAATACGGCTAAATGTGTTCGATTTGTATACAAACTTTAAATAGATAAATGACATAAATCCCGAACAGTAGGTCATTGATCCCGATTGACTGCGCAGTATTTTTGTAATAATATTATGACGATATAGTTTGAACTCCCTTGAGGTAGGATTGATAGCTTAATCTTAGGCGCAATTGTCCTAAACTAGATCTGATCATTTATAGGCCACATGCAATCTTTGCCTGATTCAACTGACAATCAATTGATAGGGATGCATGCGTGTGCAAAAAATATGATTGTAAACAAATCCAAACAATAACAGAAGGTGTAGATAACAAATTCCTAACTGTAGTACGCTGCCAAAAAATAGTCTCCTCTTTCATCGCATTATCTTCACGAGGAAACCGGTTTTTGTTTTCGAACGGTCGATTGCTGATGCAATTTTGCAGTTCTCCTTATAAATTCTTAACTGATAAAATGGCAACAAATATTTTCAATCATCAGTCGGTCGTTTATTGTTTCCGTGAGATTAACAGGAAAGACCGCCACCTTCGTTTTGAATCAGATAATTTCGTACGTATTGTGCTTGTTCTTCGGTCAAACCAAGTTTTCCAACTTCTTCCTCAAACTGAGGCAGTCCTCCGACTCCAACCAGATAGCCATTCAGGCGGGCAGCCAAATGAGAAGTCTGCAGAAGTTCCGGCGTCAGATCGAGTCCCTTAGCTAGATCCACGTGTCCTTGCAGTCGATATTTTTGATTATGACTGAAACAGATAGCAACATTTGTTACAAATAATCAACAAAGCAACCTGGTAGCCACAAACTTTTCCGCCGGATATAAGTGACTCTCTGGGACGATCTCCGTGACAACCAACTCTTCTCCTTCCTGAACCTGCTGTTCGGATTTGCTAGCTTCCGCCAGCAGTCGCTGCTCGTCTGTATGATACATGATCATGGTCATGTACTCCCTTTTGAGCCGTGCCGATTCTCGGTATTCATGGTTCTTCCAGAACAATTCCAACAGCTCCTTGTAGGTTATCTGCTTCGGATCGAAGTGAATCTCAATCACCTCAACATGATCCCCACTAGAAATTCACATTCTTTTAAAACTTCACTTTCGAACTAACGGATGCTAAACTTACACGTGCTTGCTCCTCGGTGACTCAGTGGTCCCGCCAGCATAACCGACTCGGGTTTGCAGAACCCCTTTGGTTGCTCCAAACAGGGAATCGCAAGCCCAGTAGCAACCCATTCCAAAAGTGGCCTTCTCGAAGGGAGTGTCCACATGATGCAATGGTTTACTCTGTCATATCAATAGTATCATTGCAGGAAACATCTTTTAAACCATACGAAATTCAATCCTACCATATTTCAAATTCAAAAGGGTTCCAATGTCCTCAGCGATCAATCAAATAGGGGAAATGAATGCACTAATCAACTTTAAAGCAAAAACAAACTTTACGAAAATGAGGACGCATTCTCATCTGTCAGACTTAACTTTCCAATACATGCTTACAACCAGCTGCGTTTGTATTTGTGAGCTTAAAGTTATAATTGTTTACTAACGCTATTCATGTAATCGTTGCGACGTTTTTGAATGGGTATCCTTTCGATATCAAACCGAATAGTCAGCACTTGAATCATAAAATTTGCCTTATCAATCGACCATAAACTTTTAAGTCAAAACGTCCACTGTCTTTGTTGTCTAGCGCCATATTTTTGTGTATCCCACTATAAATCCCCCGCCGATACTTGTATACCCGGCGATCACGTGTATTTGTGTGGGAGATGTGAAGAGAGCAAGATCAGCAAGTAAAGTAGCCGAAGAATAATCCACCAAAGCAGAAGAAACCAAAACAATCAGAGAGCATTGGAAAGCGAGTTTTCAAATCATTTAAATTGATTTTTGAACGCGAAATTCGAACGCTGGTTGTGGTCTAAATTTAAACAAATTGGTAATGTTTGATTCGTCTTTTAGAAACCTTTCAAATGATGCAAAATTAGTTTGTATAATTATGACTACCGGTTTGATTGCATGTCTTATCACTCGAAATTATCAAAAATATTCTGTAAGAATATGCTCTTAAAAATATTTATGTTTAAAGTTCCGCAAATGTTCAACGCACATTTTTCCACCCGCCTTGCGCAGAAAAACAAACGTCCCAAGACGATCAACTACATCTCGCGCGAGTGGCGTGGCATCTCGTGCATGATACACGAAGCAAAACAAACCGAACTGATACTAACTGAAACAAACCGTTCTCAGCTGACCGGGCGGGGGCTTGTACCAAGTCATTCATATTTCAATTTCAATATCGTTTTTTGACGTCAAATTCGAATCTTTTCACGCGAAACTTGGCCAACTGAGAGAAACGGCTCCGCGGTTTTTACCGATATGCTTGAAATTCCTCTAACATTCCAAAACTGGCACCCCTACATAACCTACCCTAAATTATACACAGAACAAATCTGCATAGTCTAACGAATCCAATGGTACCACTTTCGTGAAATTCCGACCCATGGTGGCCTCAGAAATGGGACCCAAAATCGAACGATGAATGAAATTTTACTTCCGATCGCAGCAAGCCATACGTCATCATCATAACAGCGTGCACTGCTCTCCCACCAGGGGCACGCTCTCTAGGCAGGTTGCTTATAGTGATAATGGAATACGCTGAAAGTACACTTGAATTTTTTTTTTCCTATGCAAATTTATCTTATTTTTCGATAGCCCATTCTTACTGGAAATCAGTCATTCTTGGTTCCAATCCTGCTAACGTAATTTTAGATTTCGTCATGCATGTGTTCTCGAAAGATTTTTCCAGAAACAAAGATTTTTCCAACATACTTAATAAACTTTCTGATTTCATCCACTGGAATAACAAAAATCTCTACTCAAAATCGGAAAAAATCGAATGAAACGATGTCTACCGACCACAACGCCGCGTACGTCATCGTCTTCGTCGCTTCTCGCAGGGAAATCCTCTGTGCTGATAGTGATAGTGTACAGCGCAAAGTCATTCATGTTTGAACTTGAACTCAATTTTGTGGTGCTAAACGATGAAATTTCGAACAGAAACTTAGCCAATGTATTACGTCAAACATTCCCTAAGGGTCAGTGTGCCAAAAACTCAAGAAATCGTACAAAACAGCGATCCTTAGACAACCCACCGGAAACTTTCCAAAAAAGCAATCTACTCGGTCCAACAAATCCATTGGTGCCACTCCCGTCCAATTCCGTCCAGTGGAAGCCTCCCAAAAGTCATCCGAAATCGATATGTGAATGAAATACTTCACCCCGTAAGCATCATAGCAAGCCGTATTCGTCATCACCGTCATTACCCGCCATCAATCAGAGGTGGCTACGGCGAGCGTACACGCGACTATCACACCGGACCGGCTTCTTCCCACATACAGTTGCAGCCTGTGTTACGAGACTGCATGCTTCTAGATTTGAGATGCATACCAATTAAATGAATTCGCCGACATTGCACTTGAACGGGTTGAGTAGAGTAATGTGCATGGATGTTGCCAGTTGACACCCCGTTGCGATGATAAAGTTGATACAATTTGAATAGAGTCTCAATATCTAACTGCGGCTTAACTTCCCGTAAGTGGAAGTTCTAGGTAACATCACGCGCCACAGTCGTGATGCTCTAGGTTTTGCAATTGCTCAATCTTTTCGACGCCATTGTCAATTGACCTCAACGCTGATAAACTAAACGGACACAAAACGGCGTCTAACACAGGCGCGAGGACGCGAACAGACCGTGCGCAAATTTACCAACACAGCAGGCCTTTGTTTTGCGATAATAATAATTGTTGTTACGAGCGAATTGCTGGTTGGTCATGATGATTATGCTACTTTTGTGAAATGATTTTGCGGAAGTCCGAATACTATGCACCGTGTGCAAAAAAATAATTTCAAAATTTGAAGGTTATCTTTTTTTATTCTAGTTGTTAATATAATTTTTAAATACTGAATTTTATCGAGTTTGAGATGCAAAATTTACTACAAGTCACTATTTTTTTTTGTATCGATTTGTTTCGTGTTTTATGGCAATACGCAATATACTGGTTACTAAAAAAAGCGGGGATTGTTAAGAATTCATAGTCAGTTCCAGTTTATTGAGTATCTTTAAACTACCCTTGTGGACAGAACAGTCCCATTTGTTATTGATGTTTTGCCGAGAGAAATACAATAAAAGTATTCTTATAATTTGCTTGTAAATACGGCTAACTGTTATGTACTACTAAACAGAAAAAAAATCTGAATTTTACTGGTGATGTAAACATCTACACAGATAAAAATTCTGAATTTTAATAGTGATGTAACCATTCATTCACGAAAACTTGTATTTCATTTCACACAACCGAGCAACAATGGGCTTTTGTATACAATATTTGCTACATTGTATGAAATGTCGCAGAACTTTACATGATATATAATGTAAACTTTTATTATATGTGACGCTCAATTTATGTGCATCATACTGAACAGAAATTTACACTACTTTTTCAAACTGTGGTACGTTAAGAGAAAAACAATGGAACTTGCATCACTGGATGGAACAATATACACACTTAGAAATAATTAATTTTACACGTAACGGAATCCATTTTTGACACAAAAGATGAGACGTAAACAAACATTTAATGTAATATTAAGTGCTACGAGACTGAAAAATTCGTTGCTCGACGAATTCGTTGCGACGACGCTCGTATATGTCACTCTCAGAGCACCTAAATTTACAGGATTTTTTCTAAGTGTGTAGTTTTGGTATTTTTCGCGACATTTTCTGAACATAGTAGGAAACTTCTCGTGTACATTGTAAAATGATGTTACTTAACAATCAATTCCAATGTATAACTCATTTTCACCAATAATGCTAATGGGACTGTTATGTAGTACAGGGTAGTATAAGAATGAATGAAAGCGCATGAAAAATAACCAAAATGATCTCAACAACTTTATCCAATGATTAATGGCTAAGTTCAAATCTCCCATAACTTTGTTCGGATCTTTTAGCAAACAATATAGGTAGCAGTTTATAATAGATAAAAGATGTGTATTTCATTATCATTTAGTTTCTTATCACAATACATAACACCTAAACATAGCCGTTAGCTTATTTCAAATAACTACTTAACCTAACCTAGCCTAATAATCTCGATAACATTTTATAAAAACATTATCCCCAAACTCTAACAGTCGAATAAAAGCAATCAATCTCCCAGTAGACCCCTCACTTCTCGTCTAACAGAAAATGCCGCCTCCCTCGTTCTCCAGCACGTAATCTCGCACGTACTGAATCTGATCGGCGTTCAGTCCTAGCCGGTCGGCATCCTTGTCGAACTGTTCCAGACCGCCCACACCGATCAGATACCCGTTCAATCTCGCTGCCACGTGGGACTTGTGAAGCAGTTCGGACGTCAAACCAATACTCTTCGCCAACTCACGGTGACCTTGAAGACGGTACTTTTGGTGGTAGCTGGAAAGGCAAAGAAAAATAACCAAAAAAAATCAGGAAGTGCCGCTAGTCAAATTTCATTGGCTAAAAAATAAATACACATGACTCACTCAAACACTTTAAATCAATGGGTCTAGTGTCGTCACTGCTGACAAGTGGCGCATATAACTGTATTGTGAGTGGCACCGCTTGTTTAATGTTAGTGAGCTGTGCCGTTGCCGTAGCAACCCAACTCAGCTTAACCCTGGTCGTGAACTCGAGGCGCGGCAAGGCCAACTGTGCTCTTATAGTTATTTTAATTCTATGGATACTCACTCTTCGGCAGGATAGAAGATGCCAGCAGGTGCAATTTCGGTGATGATCTTCTCCGGGGCTCGCTTGATGTGTTCCTCGGCACGACTTTCCATCGAAATGCGACGTTGTTCTTCGCTGTGGTACAGAATCAGCGACATATACTGACGCTTGATGCGAGTGGTCAGACCGTACTCGTGGTTGTTCCAGAACAGGTCCAACAGGTCCGAGAAGCTGATCACCGTCGGATCGTAGTGAATTTCAATCACCTCGGTGTGATCACCCCTGTTATTGATGTTACATCACACATTAATTAGTCATCAGTTAAAGCTTGCACTCATCAAAAACTACTTACATATTTCTGTACACCGGAGCTGGAGTAGTGCCACCGGAATATCCTACGCAAGTCCGCAAGATACCCTTCGTAGCACCGAACAACGAGTCACACCCCCAGAAGCATCCCATTCCAAAAGTGGCTTTCTCGTAGGAAATGTTGACGTGATGCAATGGTTGAGCATCGATTTTCTCCACCTTATCCGTAACGTTCAAATTGTGCTGTAAATGTACAATACTAATCAGTCAAAGAAATTCTAATAACAATAAAATTTTAAATGTGACAACTTACCGTTGCGACCATTTTTGCGACTAAGTTCTTGAAAGGCAACTGTTTGTAAATTGAAATGTTAAAAAAAATCTCAAACTTTCAGAAAGTGTTCAGTCCTTTACTCTCAAGAACTTGAAGTAGATTGAGTAAAGATTGGTGGAGCTAGCTCCAATTTATACACGGTTGAAACCGAGGGATCGCCGAATCTGTAACTACCTATAGTACACGTTATCAGTGGCACAACTCGTGAGAGTTACTTCCCTTGAGAGAGTAAAATCTGGGAAAATCTCTTACCGTTCACATACAAAGATTGTTGATGCTATGATCTAAACACAGTAATTCTCAAAACTTTAAACATATATTGGCTGTAAACCGGCAATGTACTACGAGAAAGGCACACCACAGCGAGCTTGGTGTTGGTAAAGTTTGATCCGATTAAGGGGAAGATAGGATTCCCCTCAACTTGCACGGAATGTTGCATGGAATAATGTTGTGCAATTTTGTAGAATTAACTTACAAATTAGTTCCAGCAATGATGCTGATATACACCCAACTGGGAAATGTAAGATTCTATTACAGATGTGCATGAAAAGTATGCAGAATTTGCAATGTTTGACCACATGAACAGGTCCTGTAATGTGGTCGCCGGAAGGTTTTTTATTAAATTTTTTTTCAATTTTAATGTTAGCTTAATTTTAGGACAAAGTTTGTTTTCTCATATGCATTGCATCTCGAAAATCATGTCGTGAAGGTTTTATACTATATCTATTATTGTTTGTATATTTATTCAAATCGTAGACTACATATTAACATTAGGGTTCTGAAAACTTCGCAGGGTTCTGAAATATATTTTAAATTCTGTTGAGGGCATATTTAGGTCAATCATTTCACAATGATGATTATAAACAGTCATCATCTAATTTACAGGTCCAAATTTAGCGTAATTGGTCCGATGGCGATCTACTGCGAACAACTGTCGATTGCGTAATTGTCGGGAAGGTGCATACAAATTTAACCTTGACAATAGATCAGCAGAGTCAATGCGTTGCGAAATTATATTGTTTAATAAAGAAATCTTTGCGTAATCCCGATGTTCTTTCAATGTTTGAACGCTGATCAGCAAGCAACGTGCTTCATATGACGGGAGAGGAAAAGCCGTCCAACCTAACTTGCGTAGTGCATATAATAAAAATTTATTTTTTTTATGACCAAACAACGCTACAATATTCTAAAATTGACCTCACATAAGCAACGTAAAGTGATTGTATTGTACATATAGGGATCTTTAAAGTGGATACCGAAACGTTTTATAAAATTAAGCATATTGCCTGCTCTAAGCATTATTGTGTTATAATGGTCCACAAATGTCAATTTAGAATCTAGAATAACACCAAAATCTTACATTTTCACATTTTTGAACACTTTCATTACCTGTAATGTAATACAAAGATTTTGTTTGTTTTGTTTTCTACTGTACGTTATAAGATTACATTTTTTAATATTTAGTTTCAATAAACTTTTACTACACCATCTGTTAAAAACCTTGTATTTCATTCTGAAACACATTCATATCGTTATCGCTTCCTATTTCTAAAAATAGCTTCATGTCATCAGCGTATATAAGCACCCTGATATTTTTTTTAAAATAAGAGAGACGTCATTAATGTAAAAAATAAAAAGAAGGGGACCTAGGTGCGAGTCCTGGGGAACCCCTGACGTGACAAGAATTGGCTTAGATGTTTTCTCGTTAAATCTTACAATTTGTTGGCGATCAACTAAATACGATTTAATCCAGGTGAGGAGCTTCATCTCAATTCCCATTTTTTCTAATTTAAAAATCAGCATTGGGGTATCAATTCTGTCAAAAGCTTTGCTGAAGTCCGTATATAGAGCTTCTACTTGGTTACCTCTGTCCATTGCATTTAATACGAAGTTCACAAATGCCAAAAGGTTTGTTGTGCAATAGTTATTCTTTGTTTTATTTGGCCAAAAACGTTTTTATTTATAATTGATTCGAAGAGTTTTGGAATGCACGATATGATAGCAATCCCACGATAATTTCGAATATTGGATTTTTTACCTGATTTATATATGGGTATTAAGTAATTTTTTTTCCATTCCTTCGGGAATATACCACATTCAAGTGACATATTAAACAGCCAGAATAAAGGGGTTGTGAGTTCAGTTGCTAAGTTTTTCATAAAAATAGGTGGGATTCCATCTGGTCCTGAACCTTTAGTGGCGTGCAAATCTCGTAGGCCATTCCAAATACCATGAACCGAAATGTTATTAACGCCAACAAATTGTGTATGTTTCTTCAAAAAAAAGTCGAACATATGGATTCTGGCAAAACTTGCTTGTACGCTGCAGTCCATTGCAAGAACTGCCCTTACATTTGTTGTATGAAACATATGCAGAGGATGTAATAAATCCTACATTTCGTTTGATGTAATAGAAATTTGTTTTGCATGTACTAATCAAAGGTTTATTTAAATATAATTCCTTCTTTTGAAGTTATCATCACCGAGCTTCACATAGCCCGTTTCGGTCGGTCGAAAAAGTTGAAGTTCACAAAATCGCTATGCCCTTAATTTTTTACACATTCTTATGAAAATTTCAGTGCAAATGGAGAGTTTTGCTAGTTTTATGGAAAAATATCAGAATGGTTGTTTTGTCCCTGTGGTCCGACTTATTCTAGTGCGTTCCTGGGTTAGGTCAGGTTAAAAAGTGGTATGTTTCCTCATGAGGCCCGTTTATCATTATGTTTGGGCTGAAACCCTATCAGAAATTACTTGTCTACGTAATAAAACTTTACACACTAAGATTTTTGCCAAGATGAACAGCATCGAGCAGCTCGGCATTTTATTTTGCTGGATCTCAGTGAAAAACTTTTTAAAAAATCACAATTTTTGGGGTAAATATCGAGGGGGACGACTCTATCTACCATGCAGAAAAGATTGTGTTTTGCTGTTTTGCACGCACGCTGAGTAGATAGAAGGAAGGATTTATGTCGATTTTGAAGATTTCCTGCAAAAAGATGAAGCGCGATGCAAGTAGATGCGAGAAATGAAAGATGATTTTTTCGAAGATTGATTCGCTAGTGTGAGATTTTTTGAGCATCTAGAATTGCGATTTAGATGTGTCGCCCCCTCGGTAAATACAGAAACGGTCGAACATAGCCGTTATAAAAATAGTAGGACAAGTTCCGTTACTTGAGACACTGTTCTTGGCGGTTGATTTAGAACGATCTGGAGAGCCTAAAACACCTGACATACATTGAAATAAATCGTAAATAGTACGCATAGACTATTTGAATATGTTTGTTGTTTTGTTGAGTCAATGTTGAAGTCTTAGTTGATTTAGGAGATAATTTGATCTAAGTTCCAAGATGATTTGGAGAACCTAGAATATCTAATATACGTGAAAATGGATTGTTTGTGATTTGCAAAAACTCTTTGACTATGTTTGATTATGTATAGTTACTTGGGACACTATTCAAGTCATGGTTGATTTAGTAAATCATCTTATCAAAACTCCATGTCGATTTGCAGAATTTAGAACATCTTATATTCATGAGAACGTAACGATGTTTCACGTACGATATTTTAGTATTTGGACTTAACCTTCTTCATAGGATGTAAAGCTGTACCGTCTTTCCACAGACAAACAGACATAACATATTGAATATTAGTCACTGTAAAACATCGTCGCTAAAACATAACCGCCATCTGTTGAGTACACTGTGGTGGCTGAACAGATGGCAGTAGTATGAAAACGTCAAACACAAGAGAATTGACTATGCGCGCCGCAGGTGGCGGTACTACCAACTACAATACTTTTAAATTGACCGTTATATGCTTGTTCGATGAACAACTTGCGAGTGTTATGTCTGTTTGTCTGTGGTCTTTCGTTCAGGGCAAAAACTTTACCCCTGAATCTTGAATCCAAACAAAATTACTAATGCTTCAAGATGCTCAAAAGCCTATAGAGTTTTTGATACTGCCCTAAAGATCTCCGAAAATCAGTAAAGTTCTCAAGAGTTTTCTGAATTTCTCAGAACTTCCCGCAATTTTCCTGAAATTAGTTGATCTGCTATCAAATTATTTGATCGATTCAGATGTTCCTGCATTTTAACTAATATTTTTGGAAACTTCCTTGAAGATAATGGAACATCCCTTAAAATCTATAAAGCTCCCTGAACTTCTCTGCCTTGGCTGCCTTGTTCTTTCATGATAATGTTTCCTAAAATGTTCAAGATATTCTGAGAACTTCTCTAACATTCCATAAATTTTCCTAATATGCATGATAATTCCCTCAAAACCCCGTAGTATTTATTCCTGAAATTCATTAATCATTCCAGACAATCTATCTCAGGATCTCAGGATCTAATATATATATCTAATGTTCCCTAATTCCTCGGAACTTCTTGAAAGCTCCTAGAGTTAACAAATGGCACTGCTATTAAGTTCTCTGATCATTTTTCAAGATCTTGAAATATCCTTTGGTTTGTTTTTTCCGTCGATCTTGTTTTCCGTGCTGAGCACCAATGCTACCGACGCCAGGGAGGCAGCTCCCACACCTGGACCCTACCTATCGACCCATCAACTCATGAACCGGGGACCAACGGCTTTACTTCCCATCCGAAGGAAGGCGTGATCAGAGATGTTATGCCTCAGAACATCCCGGTGGCGCCGACTGGGATTGAACCCAGGCCTGCTGGAGTGAGAGGTAATCACGCTTACCACTACACCACCGGCGCCGTTATCTTGGAATATCCCTGATGATAAAGAAAATGCCTGAAAATCTCAAATCTTATCTGAAGTTCTCTGGACTTCCCTGAAGATCTCAGAACTTTGGTAAAGATGACCTCATCAGCAATTTATTTCCTCAAATGTGTGCTAGTGCATTCTGCATAGATTTTCATAATATACCAAGCATCTTTAATCCCTAAAGAGTGGCCTTGTAATATTACAGCGTCAGATGAATGTTCTAGAAACTGAAGAAGACAAAACCATGTGTTTTCAAAAACGGGAAGGTACTGTAGACACCTTAATACATTTGAGAACATTCATGGCACGTTCGAGGAACTCGAGACTACTACTCCGAACTACTCCTAATTATCGAAATCTATCTTGAGCTCTGAGAACTTCCCTGAAGTTCCCGCAATTTTCCTGATATTAATAAAACTGCTTTCAAGTTTGTAGCGCACGACTCGCAGCCTGCGAGATCTCGACCACCGAATACGCTTCCTGTCTCTAAAACGATTGGCTTAAGCGCCACCTCCGGAGAGTACCACTCGTCAAGGTTTGATTTGTCCGGCAAGAAACCCAACCTCAGGCGGGTTTATGAATGGAAGAGACCGAAATTTAGTTTGAGAGCGATTCAGCAGACTGAAATCCCATGAGTGATTGAGATCCTCACAAACGGTACTAAGCGGAAGTTGATGCTAACCGTCGTTCTACCGTAACACAACAACCCCACTCACATTTTTCATCACTGGAGGAACTTTCCCTTTCAGATTTGCTCCCCCGAGCCTGACACGTGAGTGCGGAGACTACAACAACAACAAAATACTACAAAAAAACGCTAAATAGAACGACCAAAACGTGATGAATCTAGCCAACAAAAATTAACATTACAGGGAAAGCTTTTACTTTACGAAAACAACATTTATTTCAGGGCTAAATAACTAAAAATCATTAAATGATTTATTCGTGTTCCTAACCTAGGTTTATTCATGGCACTTGTTCCTTTCCCATTTGTTCATTTGTTTGCGGGTTCACGTGGTTGACATTGGCGGATTTGGCTAACGCTCTGCCGGAGAACAGTTCAACGGTGTCTCCCTTCCGAATTCTCCCCCGAAACGGGAACCTTGAAGTTGAAGCGTGGGGTCTAGAGAGCGCGATTTAATTCCTCGATTGCGGTGTGCCGAGCAAAGCCATCTATCGCTAGAAGCGATGCGGTGCAAACTCCAATCTGCACAAAACGATCCTACACAAAAAGCCGTCGAACGGCTTTCTACGAGCTTTGCACACACAATAAGTTGACGAAAAACACACCGCGACACTAAGTACACTTAAGTACAAACTACTTGCACTTCCGCCTCTTCCCACGGTTCAAGTCAAAGTGCACGAGTAGAAGTTCCAGAACCCTCAGATATGTGTGAATTCAACGGTCATCGTGGCCGGAAGTACGTCAAATTACCGAAGTAATTCAACGACCTTTCAAACGACATTTTTCATCATCTTTCTCTGTAACCATTCAATGCTACATCTCTTTCCTTATCATGCAATTTCAATCTACTATCTTGCTCAAATCTATTTTCGGTTACTCTTTTATACGAGAGAACGGTTCGGATTCGAACCCTGGACTTTAACGAACAGGTAGCGTATTCGGGTCAAATGGAGTGAATTAACTGAACGTATTGGTTTTTGTATGACAAGTGTAACTATATATAAGTGAACGTACGTTCCTTGGCGGTGAATACATTTATAAATTTAATTGTAAAAACGAAAGTTCATGCAAAATACTTATATGTGGAAAACTGTATAATTAGAAATTCTGTGCAAATAAATAACTAAATAAATAAACCGAAAAGCGTACTTGTTACAAGTTCTCAGAAAATTCTTTTAAGATCTATAAACTCAATTTTCCTGAATTTAATGAAAGCTTTTTTTAATTTTTCTGAAATCTGTGGAACGGCCTTGAAACTATCGAAACCTAATATTAAGAATCTTAAAACTTCCCCGATGCCAATGAAGTTCTAAGAACTACCTTGATGTTTTCAATACTTCCTTGAAGTTTATATGAAATTCTCAAAACTTTCAGAATTTCCCGAAAGTCCTCACAATTTTTCGAATTTTCATGAAACGCTCTGATGTTCTTAAAACTTTCCAGAAGTAGTTCTTTTCTAAAAACGTTTAAACTTACCAGAAGCTTTCTGGAAGTTCTGTCAAAGTTGCAGAAATGTTTTTGAAGTTAATGGAACTGTCATGAAGTTCTCTGATCTTCATCAAGCTCACGAAATTTTCATGAAGTTTTTGGAACACCACTGATGTTCTCAAGGCTTACCCTTAAAGATATTTAAACTGCCCCAAAGTTCTGAAGTTTCCTGTTGTGGTCGACACTTCTTTCAAGTTTTTTTTAACTTCTCTGAATAGTTTGGATATTCTTTAAGATGTTTGGTACATCCTAGTTTCGGATTTCTCGCTTTTAATCATTTTCCTCGCTGAACACGATCCACTCGTCACTACAGTCGTCTGAAATCTAATCCTTCTCTCTTCAATTTTCTTCTTCGATCCCCCGTTTTTTTTCATCGACCTTCTGAGCTCGATGTATAAAGCTCGCACAATTCTCTCGAATCCGACTAGGAAAGCTTATTATAAATCACGCACTCAGGAAAGTCAAATGCGGCGACTTTTATCAATGTAAATATTGAGAAAGCTCATTTTTTCAAGCTTCGATATATTTTTTAGTAACTGCTTCGAAATTGGAAACCATTCTCTAAAACTTTTCCTTCAGACTTTTTCAAAAGGAAGTATTCTCAAATATTTTGCATATTGTTAGTCTGCTAGAATCTGCTAGAACAGTATTGATATCTCTTACTTTATTTTCGTTATAGGTTTGATAAATATTATTACTTTTATTTTATTTTATTTTTTGCATTTATTTATATTTTATATCGTGAATCTTAATGCAACAATAATCAAACAATATTCAATAATATATATACATATTTTTTTTGCTCCTTTCATGCCTTTATACTAACGATTATTAAATATATAAGAATATTCATTTTTAGCTGAATATTTCAAATACAAATTATGCAAATTATTGCTTTAATTTATTTTGATTAGGCATGAGAGGAGCATGCACCAAGATCAATACTTCTGCGCCCAGTTTGTTTTAAATTATAAAAAATAACATAACGATTTTCGGAGCTAGATACTCATTAGAGTGATGCAAAATTTAAAATTTTCGCTCCACAATACATAAACGATTCCAAATCGGATCCTGACTAACCTCTCAAAATGTGAACCCATTTGGTGTGAAACTGAGATGGCACAAACCATTTGAAGTTTGTATAGGAATTACTATGGTAAAACCAAGATTTTTGTACATGTCTATCTAATAATTCACCATATCTGTCTGCTTCAAAAGCTTTCAACTGTACTTGTAGGAAATTTTCCCAGCTACAACTTTGCCCAAGACCACTTTTTGATTAAATGCAAGAATCGACAGTTATCAATGGTTCAATGCACTGATGTCTTATGATCATGGTCAATCAACTGCTCAGCAGGCAACATTGGTGTTTCTGGGGCGTTGAAAAGGACACAAAAATCATGGCTACTATGTCACACTGCAAAATACAGTGTTGCCGACAGAGCAGCTGCTTAATCATGTTATAAGTTTACCAACCTCTTAAATAATTAATAACTTTTTACAGTCTCGTTTTACATAGAAACGATTTTCAGCAAAGTTGTAGCTGAGAAAATTTTCTATAAGAATGGCTATTGAACTGTTTCGCAGCTCAATATGGAAAAAAGACTAGACTAGACTAGCAATGAACAAAAAGTTGAGATTTCCCATATTAATTTACATGTAAACTTCAAATGGCTTGTGCGAAGTCTGTTTCTAACCAAATGAGTTGTAACTTTGGGAAGCTAATCAGGACCCGATTTGAAACCATTTAAGCACTGTGGAGCGAAAAAGACAAATTTTGCATCAGTCTAATACTCATAGAGTAAGCATGAGTAACCTGCTTCACAGCCTATTCCTACTGCTTAAGCTACTAAGATCATGAAACAACTTTAAAAAAATATTGTACTATGTGTACTAAAAGTGCGAAAACGTGTTTTGATACATCGGACAAAATTTATAAGAGAACCAAAATCTAAGATCATAAAAGTACCTAAAATAATATCTTTTTTATTTGTTTTTAGGAAGCTGGATTCTTGAGAAGGACATGACATACCTACATATAATAAATAGTTGATGAATCTTTTTCTATTTTTTTTTATATGGAAAGAAAGTACATACATAGTATACATTTTCCCATTACGTGTATTATGGTTGATGTACACGGCAAATGAGATCAACCCAATTTTTCTGTTCAGTTAACTCATAATGGCAAAAAAGTGCAGTAACTCACCGATGAGTAAATTGACCACTTTGTCAAGCAGTTTTGGCGCGACTTTCTACCAGCGATTTCACATATCTGGACCAACTAATTTTAATTTTTTCATGAAACGCACAAATGTTGGCTACTTTTCTCGTGGTTCTAGAAGAAAAAATCTCAAAATAATGTTTTATTGCAAAGCTCGAGTGGTAGTAAACGTCATTTTAACTGCTCGAATGAAGTGGTTAATTTGCCTGTGGAAAACCTCAAAAATCGCCCGGAAAATAAGGGAAAGTGACGAAAATTTTACTTAGTCTAGGAGTAGTACCAATAGACTGAGAGAATCCAATCTTTACATATCTCATACTCGGGATTTTTTTCCTGAACAAACATGAGGAAAATTTAGTTCCTGCACTTTTTACGAATTATGAGTAAACTGAACTCAAATTTGAGTTGATCAAATTGACCATGTGTACTTTAGAATTAATGCACCAAAACTTCAAATTGTTTTCTCAAATTTCTCATCTGCCATCCGTGCATTCCCTCGGCTCAATTCATGAGTTTCATTCAATTTCTGTTTGCTGTGCGCATTCGACACGTCCAATTCATTCTCTTGCTGTGGTGTAAGTGCCACTTCGCTTCCACTATCATACATTTCTAGCGAATAAATACAATACTTCTACCAACCAGAGTTTGATGCGGCAGCGGCACGTTATGCCTTTTGCTTCATGTCAGTCGTCGCCTTGATATTCACGCGAGCACAACTCACACGATTACGAGTGTCCTCGTTCCTCATTACATAGGGTAATTAGCATCCATAGATTAGAGCAAACAACGTATTTCCTGCAAATAGTGACTTGTCTCATTGCCTTTGGTAGGAAAGTATTTTTTCTGAAAGTTTACAACCAAGCAAATCTATCTCAAGATGTGTAAGTGTCTCGCAGGAAGCGTCGTTTGCTGGTAAGTAGATTGTGATGAATACAAATATTGTTATCCTAAAATAAAGACTGAAAGTCACCTTAAATGCAAGTCAAGAGTACAACAAATACAAACAACTCCCTGTTTCATATATTCTGTGCAAATCCAGACGAGCTGAATTGGTCTAATTTGATAGCTTTATATGGTGCATAGAGCTTCTAAAAAGGGAGAGAGAGCCAAAGACAATAAACGGGTTCACCGTGGATGGCTCTGTATTAAAGGTACGGCCGCACTAGCTTCCGATATCGGACGAGACGATATTGTTGTGGTTATATGAGAGAGTACTAGTTGTCTCTCTCATACCGCCGCAAAAAATATCGGATGCCAGTACGGCCGTACCTTAAACAGCAGCAACCCATCTAGGCACGCACTCAAAATGTGAGGGTGATGCGAGCTAAAATTGTTTGTATACACATGCAATCAAGTGTCGGTATATAATTGAAATAGAAATAATTGCCACCGGTCGAGTCAAATAGGTGGCACGATGTTTTGAAAATTTACACACTTCATTCAGAAACGTGATGATCACCCTTTATTCTGTATTCCGTTCGAAACGGATTTCCCTTACAAAAAAAATGTTTATGGGAAACCGTATCGAACGGAATACAGAATAGGGGTGATTATAAAATCAACCCAATCCAATCCCGCAATAGAGACTGAATATTCCTACAATACTTTTTGTAAAACGTACCGCGTCTATGCTTGTTAAAAAGAGAGACGAGAGCATACAAAGCGTTTACAACGCTAGCGTAGTTTATTGACCCAATCCTGAATGTAGAGAACAATCCAAAAAATTTCGCAGCATCACGCCCTTTTGCGATGCCCATTATACGAATGAACCAGCTCTGAATTGCTATAAAATAAAGTTCGCACTTGAGTGCTCAACCATCAGCACAACTTGCGTTCATTCCTCACACTTTTCCGTCTGAAAATCCTTGTAAGCGGAGGTGGACGACAGCCCGACTGGCGTCAAATGTCTCACACCCTCCCAAAGCGTTGTGGAATCTGTTACCGTGATACACCGAATACCGGATGGTTCGTTAATCCGGACAATTAATTTCTTGTTGAATATTACGCGTACTTATTAGCTATATAATAAATATGTGTGATGGTTCTGAACGACATTAAAAATATAAAAAAAAAATCACTTTAAATGAAAGCAACAGACACATTCTACGTTTTTGTCTGTTTTTTACAGGTTTTATACTGTAACTGATAAAAAGTAAACGTGCAGGTTTGGAAAATAAATTAAATTTCCTATAAGAATTGATCAAGAGTTTCTGATTTGAGTGACTCAAAATGTATTGTTGAGTAGTTGTTGGGTATTATAGTTTGTTTATAGTTCTGCACTACGAACGTTCTAACGTCACGCAAAATAGTCACTCACCAAATCATAATTAACTGCTCAAATTATAAACTGTTGCTCCATTCTTATAGGACATTTATCACACTGCAATAAAAGGCCACGATAAAAGAGAAAAAGATAATCGACTTTTAAAAGCGTCCCGATCAGGATTTTTAATCGATAACCGTCGATAACGTCTGCAGTGCAAATTCACCAAATGCAGACGTTAACGCTTACGTTATCGAAGGTTATTGATTAACCTTAGAGGAAGAGGAAGAGGGGCCTTTTGTCTCCTCTTCCTCTTAGCGATTAACAACCCTGGTCCGGATTTACAGCCTTTACGGTATATCACAACGAGAAAGTAGTCGTCTTGTTTTTGCAGCGGTCCGGTAGGTACCATCACCATCTACTGTACGCATTGGAATGACAGACAGCACTCGCCGTTGGGAATATGATAGGCATATTTATACCGGAATCAACATGGATGAACATAGATGTAGCCTTGAATCGTTGGATATATTTGCGATATAGTTAATGGTGATGAGTAGGTAATAGGATACCGGCTGGCGGCCGGCTTTGTTCGTTTCATTGTTTTATTGTGGCATCGGTTTACGATTCACGATGAAAAGAAAGGGAATAGGCGTAAATACAAATCGATTTCTGTTGCGAAGAAAGTTTTGAGCTTTATTTCCACATTTATCTTAAACAGTGGTCAGGCAAGTGGTCAGGAGTTAGAAATGTGTCAAGGTTATCTTGAAGACAATTATCCTACATGTTACAAGGAGTCTAGTTCAAACTAGGTATTAGAGTATAAAAAAGTACACAGAATACGATATTTAGTATTTTTATAATGTACACTGACCCTACAATTATGGATCAGCTAAAAACAATTATGGATTAGTCAGGCTACCAGAGCAAAGCTAGAAATCAAATCGAAATCAAAATTAGCTATTATGATGAAATTTATTTTGAATATTCCAGCTGATCTCATTTTGGTTGACTTAACGGTTGGTTAACACAGCAAAAATGAGAGCAAATTTCACACTATTAAATCAAACGGAAAACTAATCCTACTTTCAATTAAATCAATTTGATTACTGATTTTGCATTCATTTGCATCCATGCTTCACACGCTGAAAGAGTCGAGTTCAAATCTTACCCAGACAAGTCACGAATGACCTAAAATGTGTTAAACAAAACCAATAAACAATAATCGTTTGTTCAACGACAGATGAACTTAAATTAAATGTTCAACAAGACGTTACCAGTAGAACTTAAAGTTAAGTTGCTTTCATTTAAAATTCTCTTGACTACATAATGAAAGCACAAGATGATATCAGACTTATGTTGCGCCATTTTGATTTTGATTCTGCGAGACAGAAGGGGGTCTTATGAAGGCCAAATCTCAAGTCTCAAGGCCACATTCCAGAACGTGAGTGGATCATAGCGATCACGTCAAACTAGAATGTCTAAAATGAACCACATGCCCCACACAACCCCTAGAACGGCTCCCATATACTCTCCATGCTGAATCGTTAGTCCCCCCTTTTCCCATATCATTGTATTCAAAATAATAACCCAATGCAGGTCAATTAACTTTGTCTAATGAATTAGTTGCAGTTATAGTATTAACAGTAATTACTGCATAATATTCTAATTGAATGAAATGAATATTTACGTGTTAATAATGATCGAGATTAATGAAAAGTAAGGGAAGTTGTTAGTTGATTTTACCATCACAGAGTTTGACAATAGCGCGATGGTATATTATTACACTGAAAATATTTTTTCGTTAATTGTCTCACGCTCGTTTCGTAAAAATGGGTTTCGTAGATAGAACCATTTTTTCCTTAATTAAGCGAAACATTCGTATTGCACGTCGTTAGATATAATGCCGATATTACGCAAAGTTCGTGCAATACAAGAACCGTTTTTCGTACGAACGTAAACACTGCTAACGAAAATTATTCGTACACATTACGAATGCACTCGTTGTTGTAAGAATTTGATTCGTTTGTGGCACGAATGCATAAGTAATCAAAATATTAGTGGCTACTGAGTAGAATTGTCTAATTGATGGTTGATATCAGAAATCCCTCGATTCGATAGACATATTTAAGGATTATCTCCAAAACGAGTAGTTTGCTGTCTTAGATGGGGTAAGTAATTTATAAACGTATAGTATACATCTGTGATCTAATATTCTCTTTCTATCATATTAACAGCATGACGATCGTTTCTCAAACGAAAAGCCGGCAGAGTTCCATCGGAAGATGACTGGCAAACTTAATGGTGATCAGGTGCTACCTGATCAACAACCTGGACTTCCTCCATTCTATGCACTATCGAATACTTCATTCCCCCATCGAGGATCGAGATTCTGGCCCCTGCTACCGGTCGGAAAGGCCCTGACCTACTTTCTACTGGAGCAGTTTCAATTGTGTCAACCGAAGCGGCTTTCGATCATCGGTGACATGCTGCCACAGGAAGAGCTGCTTGATTTTCACATGTCATTGGATTGCAGCTTCGGGAATGGTTCTACAGTTATACTAAAAGTTATATGTGAGCTAGTGTTAATAAATTAATACAGTTTTTATTTTACCTACCAAAAACCAAATTCTATTTTTAACGCAATTTTCGAAACCCTACGTACATTGTACGCATGTTGTTTTGTGTGTGTACGGATGTTTCGCACTATTTTCAATCAATAGGTTTTTAGATACGAATAATTCGTATTAAATTCGTAGTGAGTGTGGAAACGTTTCGAAAAATACAAGAATGTTACAAGCTATATAATTTTGCGATTTTTAACGAATCTATCTTCTTATATGGTACGAATTTATTTCGTTGCAGAAAACAACGAATGGTTTCGTGGGGTAAACGAACGCATTCATAATATAAACGAAATTTTATTTTCAGTGTAGGATGCTCGTCGTTAAAAAAAAAAACCTCTGAAATCCGCGATGTTCAGTTGATCATCAATACTTGAATCACTGAGAGTATCGTCCGAGTTTTCGTATTCTGATTCCACCATTTCAACAATCTTGTCGTGGCTGTTTTAAACTCGCTTCAGTTATTAGCCACGTCTTGTCAATAATCCGCCGAATGCCAATAATGTGCCTTGCGCTGGTTTTCCATGTGAAGCATGGTCTGAAAATTTTCTTCTTCTCCAGGATCCCATACTAAAGGGCTTTCCTGATAATCTGTTATGATTTTTATGAAAATAAAATCATGTTCTATCCCTCTATCATGGCTATATGTTGATTCAGCTTGCATATCGTTCTTCAAAACTTCATCGTCTTGATCTAAAGGAAAGAAAATCGCCACTCGATCAAGGCAAGTAGTACCTGTGTCGCATTCCAAAATGTTTGAACCAAATATCTTTTTTTTAATTTATGCAGCCATTAGACTTAATTATTTAAGTTAAAATCATAATTCTACACTACACAATTATTTAATTTTGGCTACTAGTAAAATTCCAACAAGCTTTTGGTCCGTTACATCACAACTGGTATAACTAGTGTGCATCTCTCAACATGTACAGTCAGCTGTCGAGTCAGCTCTCAGCTTGATTTTTGCACGTTGTGAATAGCCTCACAATATCAAAGGAGTTTGTAAAATCAATATCAAGCATAAT